GATTTGCTGGCCCGACTCGTGGTCGTCCGTTTCCCCGGCGACCAGGTCCGACTGGCCGGCGAGTGCCTCCGACCGCTGGGTCCTGAGCAGACCATCTGTGTGGAAACGTGTCGGCTGGACGGGCGGCCGCCGGGCGCCGGCTTTTGGCGCGTCGTCTGGGCGGACACGCGACGGCCTCTCTTCGTCTGCTCGCCAGTCGGCGACTGCCTTGACGACGACGTTGACGCCGACGTCGGTGACTTTGACCTCGGCGTCGACGTTCGCGCCAGCGTCCGTGACTGCCGGCCCGTCCGCCTCGGGCCCGGCCTGAGGCTGGTCGGCTGGGCGTCTGGCCGCGGATACCCGACGGAGCGTCGCGTCGCCCGTCGCGACCACCGTCTCTACGGCTGCCCACCGCGCTCCCTCACCTACGCCTGGTCCCTCCTCTGCCCCGTCCACCTCGCACGCCTCCGACAGGCCGTCGTCCTTTTGTTACCGCCGTCGCCGTCGCCGTCGATCGATTTGCTCACTCCCCTGACGGCCCTGCTGGAGCCGGAGAGTCGACTGGTTCTGCTGGTCACCGAAATGGCGCCCGGCAAGACGTCCGAAGACGTCGCCGACCAGTCCGACTGCGTTGGAGATACTCAAGCCCCCGCCGAAGAGGCGACGATGCGGTACAGCTACAAGGTGGGCACAACCTCTCTCCCAACCCCCTCTTCCCCACCAACTGGCCCAGCACTCCTTCGTGAACGGCACCGAGGTCAGGCCATTCACACTTTTTCCTCTCGTCTCACTTTTCTTTCATTTTTTGCTCCTCTCCTCTCTGCTCACCTCGTGATCTTTTATTCTGATCTCTTATTTCTTCCGATCGTGTCCTCTTGATGTGCTCTCAAATCTTCTCTCCTGTCGTCGCTTGATCTCTTCTTCTGATGTCTCATTCTCTCCTCGCGTCTCTTCTTCACTTTCCACTCCTCTCCTCACTTCTCTTGTTTTAATCTTCTGACATCTTTCTTCTCTTATTCTCTTCTTTTCTCCTCTCCTCCCTCCCTATTCTCTTCTTATTTCCCTCCTCATCTATAATATGCGTATTTCTTATTCCGATCTAATCTCTCCTCTCCTCTCGTCTCCCGCCAGATCTCTTCTGACCTCCGTTCATTTCTCCTCTCCACTTTTATTCTCTCTTCACTCTACTCCTATCTTCTCCTCTTTTGATCTTTACTCTGATCGCTTTTTATCTCTCATTCTGATCTCCTTCATTTTACTCTTCTTTCAACTCTCATCCCTCCTTTGTTGATCTTGTCTTTTCATCTATTGTTGAGCTTACTTCCATTTCGAGTAGAAGTGTTGGGTGAAGATATTCAAAGGTCGGTCCCACCAGAAGACGACGGCCGATTCCTCTTGACCAGCTGTCGATTGGCTTTACTGGAAGACTCATGCTGAC